AGTTAGTTCGAGGCTCCTAAACCTTCTTGAATTCATTCAGTCCTCTGCATAAGTCTGTGACATTCTTGTTATTCCTGTTTGTTGCTAGGCCATTAATTTCCTCTTTCAGATATTCCCTGGACCGCCTCTGTGGTCTACTGGTCAGAGTTCCCGGGTTCGATTCCCGACGCTACCAGATTTTCTGAGAAGTATTGAGTCTGGAACGGAGTCCACCCAACCTCGTGAGAATTGAGGAGCTATTTCTAGGAAATAGCGGCTCCCGTCTAGAAAACCGAAATTAACGGCAGTGGGGATTCGTTGCGCTGACCACGTAACACCCTCTATCAGCAAAATTTGACACTAACTTAGCACACAAGCGGAAGTCGCTCGGTCGGTATAGTTCGCTTGTGGACTCAAGCCACGGAGTTTGATTTCTGTTTGATATTCCCTGTCTTTGTTCCCGAAATGTCAGCTAACTTCACGCCTTCCATTGTTTAGGTCGTCGTTAAATAAATACATTATAAAAATAACTTTTCGGTTTTAGAATTAAGGAAATACATTTACTAATTTATTTCCCACACGACACGCTTCAGATGTTTTCTTGGTGAACAGTACAGTACTCACCTATTTCGGTGTCCCGTTTTGCCCGAGCTGATGCCCAGCTTTTACAGCCGGAAAGCAAATGTCGGGACAGTTCATTATTGGGGACATGGGACCCGCACTTATGTGTAACATTACTTGTCCCTCACGCTCTTCATTAGGACAGGAGCAGTGTTTCAAACACTAATAAAATACAAGTATCTCTGTCTCGTTCAAGCTTTCTGTTTCTTTTAACTTCTTGGCTCATCGTAAACGTTATTGGAGTTACACGGTTGCGTTGGGAAGTATTGGAGCGTACATTACTCCTTCAAAACTTGGAAGCACAACCGTGCGTCTCAGAAAGTCACAACAGAAAGAAATCAAACTGTCTTTTTTAGGGCCCTTCATAACCTATTAAACTATCCTCGTCTTTCCATTCGCCACTCTGTGTGCAAGGAGCAAATTGAAAGCAGTTAAACTGATTCTGATTAACCTTTTAAAGCCGGAATAGCATAGACGGTGTAGCGATTGGCTACGGGCTGCTCGACCAGGGGTCGGAGTTCGAGTCCCGGTAGGGTCAAAAATTAACCCTTCTCTACGTCGTCCAGACCGGCTCTGTGGTCCACCCAGCCTCCTGTCCCATGGGTATTGTGGGCGCTTTCCCCTGGGATAAAGCGGCAAGGACGTGAAGCTGACCACTCACCGCCAACTAGTGCCAAGTCAAGAAAATATGGATCTATATACCAATTCTCCCGTCAATATTAGAGTCAATTTTACAGACCACACAACATATTTTTATTATTATTACACTACATGTTTCGACCTCAAGAAGTCATCCTCAGGTGTACGAACACAGCTGTATAATTACACACAATCACATTCGTCTTTTCACTTATTCGATCCTGTATCTTATTCAGGCCCACGCTCAATAACATATCAAGCTCCTCTCACAAAACACAAGTTGAAATATTATTCTAAATTTCAAAAGTTAAAATTTAAAATTTGTGAATCGAATAACTGGTGATCTGAATTGAAATTCGATTCACAAATTTTAAATTTTAACTTTTGACATTTAGAATAATATTTTAACTTGTCTGTTGTGAGAGGAGCTTGATATATTATTGAGCGTGGGCCTGAATAAGATACAGGATCGAATAAGTGAAAAGACGAATGTGATTGTGTGTAATTATACAGCTGTGTTCGTACACCTGAGGATGACCTCTTGAGGTCGAAACATGTAGTGTAATAATTAAAAAATATGTTGTGTGGTCGGTAAAATTGACTCTAATATTGATTAAATACACAACAGGATGCAAGAAACAATTAAAGTCAATTCTTCCATACTCCTTCATAGCGTAATGCTTAATTAGTTAAGCGCAGGGACGACTTTACTTTTATTTTGTCCTTACCTTTCACCTTTCACCATTTTCCGCTGTTTATAGCCCTAACAGAGCATAACATGTTACCATCCACGAACTAAAAACAATAAATTCTTGCAAGAATTAATCGTCAACTTTCGTTTCATACGACACGGACCGCATAGAAAACGATAAGTCCAAAAGTTCCTCTATAGTTTCGCTTGTGTTCATTGCCGTCCAAAGTTTTACGTAGCCGAAAAACGATGCTTCAATCAATTCTACTGTAGTTGAGTGTGTATTCGTTGATGCGGGAACGTTTTTACCGAGCCGTTGCCTAACAACGATAAATGGTTCACATAAAGACACACATACTGATGGGAGGGATTTATGAAATACCCCTTTGAGATAGGCTAGGGTGCCATGATATACGTACCACTTTCCATAAAGATTGGTTCAGGCTTTCAAAAGTTGATAGGGAAGGATACACACAGAGCATGAGTATGTCATAAGCCTGCATTTATTTCGTCAAAATAAGGAAGGAAGGCTTTTAATGTAGAGACAATAACAGAATGTACTAGAATTGTTACGCTGTGGGTATATTTCCTAATTTGTTTTGTTATATATTTTGGTATCTCTCCTATATATCTTCCATTTTTATTTGTTCCCGGCATTCTCGCGTTCTCTTTCTCTCTTTATCCTTTGCTTTCCCTTTCAGGTATACTAGAACCTTCAGAACTCATTCCAACGTGACTTTCAAACCGAGGTTATGAAGGTTGCATGTGTACTTGAGAAATGTACGAATAGGCTGCCATTTTACATCTCCGCCATTAACCTTTGTTCCTGCTGTACACGGTGTGACAATTAAGTTCCCGAACTGGTGACCATAAAAACAACACAAAAAAGATAAAAAAATTGTCAATATCATCACTAAATATAGTTCCCGCCTGCTTTCGCACAAGGTTTACTTGTCTCATACAACGAATCGAATGACCGAGAAAACGCTTCTTCCGCTATCGTTTTCGGTTCTCTCGTCACAGTCTGTTGGATCTGTGAAGCAGCCTCGAATCTCGTCCCTTTCACCGAAATTTTTAGTTTAGAGAATAGAAAAAGTCAGCCGGCGCTGAATCAGGGGAGCAGGGCGGATGGGATAACATGGAGTTTCCTCGTTTCGCCAAATACTCGGAGACAACGCCCGAAGAATGCGCCAGTGGATTGTAGTACGGAAGATACCAGGACCCACTTTCCTGAAATTTAGGCGTAACGCGATGAAGTAGAATGATCAAAAACTTAATCACCTCTTTATGAAACTTACCGTTGGCAGTCTGATTTTCCGGCACAAATTCCTTTAGCATCAAAATACAGTCAACGTTGTCTTCATCCGAAATTTTTGCATTCTCCCATTCTGAGCCTCTCTTTAAAGCTTTTATGCCATTCAAACACACTTATTATTGATAAGCATTCTTCATCATACGCACTTCTCAATATTTCAGACGTTTCAGTAGCTCTTTTCTTTAATTTTTCACAAAACTTAATGGTTTCTCTTTGTTTCATTTTGAAACCTTCGACAAGACGGAAAAAGTAACGTCACCAAAACAATAGTAATCCTCATATGCATCAACTAAACAAATTTAAACTTGCATATCATATAAATAAACGTTGTCTTTAAATAGTTAATTTCATTCCTGATAGATGGCATTAGTAGTACTACTGTAATAGCGTCAGATCGGGAACTTAATTGTCGCACTGTGTATATGCAGGTATATATGAGGTAATCATGTACTCGTGTAAACGGGGCCATCACAACGTAGAAGCATCTTCAAAATGAAGACAAAATGGATGCCACTGTATCACTGTTGTTTATTACGCGAAGGTGCGCTACTTGTTTCCACCTTTTCCAGGTCATTAACCGGCGAGTAGAAGAGAAATTAATTCTTAAATTGAATTTTCGTAATATATATCCATATTTCACAGTGTATTGTTATGATTGCTATAGCGAATATATCTTTTTTAAACTAATAATATGCGAAAAATCCTAGTCATGCGCTGTTGACTAAAATTGAAAATTAAAAATAATTAAAGCCCATTATATTAGGAATTTATTATTTAGGATTAATAAATTTAGTAATGTAATATGTCTTGAGGCATGCATTTTCTTCGCTCGCTCGGAAACCGGGATCGTGGGTTCGAATCCAACTCAGGGTATGGAAGTTTAGTTTATGTGTGTGCGTTTTTCTGTGTTTGTGTATAGGTAGAGACCTTGCGACGAGCTGATCACCCGCCCAAGGAGTCCTACCGTATGTCTAAAATCTATTAAACCTAAGTGAAACGGAGAGTTTCATGGAGGTAGGTCTAGGCCCAAATGAGGGCTGTAGCGCCAATGAAAAAAAAAAGTCTTGAATTTGGATCAAAAGTTAAAAAAAAATTTTAGTGAGTCCTTAAGTTAAATGACTCGTCGGATTATATGTTTAGTTCTTAGTGTATTTCTTAAAAAATAGTCTCGGAAGTTAAGCTAAAACTGAAAATGGTTTGATACTGTCTCTCGTTCAGCTCCTGGCTCTCAGTAAATAATGAGCCGGTGGGACGTGTGGGGGTTTTTCTGACTTCTTTCTTGTAGATTTTATTGCTGAAAGTAAGTTGTATTTCAATTAAAAATATGTTGTTATGAATGTTTAGGAGTTGTATGTTACATATATACAAAAAACAACTCCGTGGTTTTTAGTCCGCAAGCGAAATATACCGACCGAGCGACCGCCGCTTTTCTGCGAAATTAGTGCCAACTTTAGTGGATAGAGGGTGTCGCATGATCAGCGCAACGGATCCGGTTTCGGTTTTGTAGACCTGAGCCGCTATTTCTTTGAAATCGCTCCTCAGTTCTCACCACGAGGCTGACTGGACCCCGTTCCAGAGCCACTACTTTTCAGAAAAACTGGTAGCGCCGGGAATCGAACCCGGAACCTCTGTATATGTAGCCAGGAACTCTGACTACTAGACCACATAGGAGGTCGTATGTTACTTATTGTAAATTATATTGTCTTTAAATGGTTATCTTGGTAATCATGTACGACGTTTACCTCTCACCCGCAGATATCAACGGGCACGGGAATAATGTCACACTTCGTGGATCTACACATCGTCGTGCCTGAAGCTTTCATCCTGGGTAGCGGGGAGCACCACGTCGATGTCGGCAGTGGTATCAGCCTCGTCTGCATCATCGAGAAGGTGAGAGACGATGTATTGCCTCGCTGGCTGACTACTTAACTACCTGACTAGAGCATTAATCGCTCGGTTTTACTTTAAATATTAGAAATTCTTAGCTTAACAATCGCACCTGTTAGGGGCTCGGAGTATGCAGATCTCCATTCGAGCCAGTCAATGCATTCCATACCCACTCAGCTCTACTTTCGTGAGATCAGTGTTACTATTAATGCGTAGTACATTTCTATGTAAGATTTGAGGCTTACATTTCTCTCTGATAAAGAACACGTAGCGATTTCTTTACTTGCGGTTTCACGAACAAAACTTATTTATGAATTTTCCATCTCACTCCGAATCAATCCTCTTAACTTAATAGTATTATTAAGTGAATAATACAAAACAATTAGAGAGGACCTAATTTTGTGGAATCCGAGATAATGCAGTTGGTGTAGTGATTGGCTACGGGCTGGACGAGTTCTAGTCCCGTTAGGATTGAGAGTTTTTCTTCATGTCCAGAACGGCTCTGAGTCCCACCCAACCTCCTATACAATGGGTGTCGGAGGTAAAGCGGCCGGGGCATGGAGCTGACCACTCACATCCAATCAGTGTCGAGGTGAAGAAAATTAAATCTGTACATCCACTCTCCCAACCGCCTTCATGTCATATTTGCTTAATTAGTTAAGCACAGGGACAACTTTACATTTACCTCATTATGTAAAGCTTTCCGCCATTACATAATTTTTCATGTGTTCAAATGTTCTCCTCCAATGTTTGCTTTCTCATACAATGCAATCATTGTTATTCTCTCAGAATGAAACAGAGAATATTGTACCGATGAAAAGAAAATATCAAATTACAACATTGATCTATATTAACATATTAATACAGATATAAAATTTCAGTTATGTAGGTAGTGACAATATTGTCACGTTATGGGTGTGTGGCTATAGACGGATTAGGCATTGCTGAAAGAATTTCTTGACCACTTACACGAGTACACGCCACTCGGAACTAAAAGTACATTACAGCGCATTTATTTTGATCCTTAAGCTTTAATTATATATATATATATATTCCCATATGTTTACATACCCGAGCTTTGCATAATGTCTTAAGAAATATTACAAAATCATATTAAAATAAGATGTGGAGGACCATAGACATTCAGAAGAGAAACAGCGTAATGCGGCCAACACTTAGCCCAGCCTCACGTCGTTAAGAACGAAGATAACTACACAGTACAAAGACATAAAGAGAACGCAACTAGTCACCACTTAGAAGGAGAAACAGCCCCAGCGATAAACAGAGCAATTTTTACAGTTATGTGAAACGTTAGCAAGAGTAGTTAAATGTTTTAATTAAAGTGAATGCATATAATCCTCTGGACAAATAAAACGTTAAATACCCATATAGCTTCTACTTTCGCTCTTCCTCGGCTATTACAGGCTAGACCCTCTGCCCTGCCCCAATTAAGAACGAAATTCCGAAACTGTCTATCCTCTTTGGACATTTATTAGGACTCTTTGGATGAGGGACAAACTTATTTCTTCACATGCAGCACAAATACAAAATATAAAATAAAATTCGTACATTCACAGTCCCCTATTGAGATTCTAACCCGTGATCAATTTTTCCGAGGTGTAGAGGACAGTACGTGCCACAGTGGTCTCGAAGCTCACAGCTTTTTGCACAGTAATTAGTTTCAACTAGCAATTATATTCCGAATACTTCTGCAGATGTAGCCTGTCGGCATGCTTCATTTGGTATTTTGTGGAGGAGCGAGACTGTCTTAGTAGTTAGGCCACAGCTGGCTCACTGTACCAGCCCCGAATATTAGACTCAATCATGTGGCTTTCCCAGAGATTTCTGCTTTTATTGGTTCCAGTGTCCCGTTACTTTGTCCACGATTGCTTGTCATTGGGCCATATCGTAGAATGTAGTACCGTTTGTATGCAACGATCGCGAGAATGAACATTCGCTGCTTGGCAACGGTCCGTTGTACGTGTCACCGATATCCGAGCTATCGCTAAGCAATCGCCCATAAAAACAATAGAAAAATTTTGGAGGCGGTGTTTTCTGTTGGGTTAACCCCGAGATTATATTGCGATGACATCAGGCCGCCTGAGTGGCAGGTCAGTTGAGTGAAATAAAGTGAATTAGTTGTTTCGTGAGTGAGAGGGTTAAGTTGAGGGTTGGTAGTTGAGTCGATCTCCACAAGGAAGGCTGAGAGATGGCTCTATATTGAGTGGATAGTTGACAGTAGTTCAGTAACGACGTGAGCGCTGAAATCTGAAGAATCTTCACTGTTAGAAGCCGTTGCTAGGGAACAGCTGTTGAAGACACAGGCTGGAATAAGACTTAGCGAGTGCCGTGGTGTTCTGTGAATTGTGGAAATTACCGATAGCGCCGTAATTACTTGTATTTCCGAGTGGTGTGCATAAGTGGTCAATGAATCCAATTGACCAATCCAAATCCCGTCTATAGTCACACCACACACCTAAATCCTAAAATTTTGTTTTCTTAAGAGCCGTTTCATTGTTATTTCCCCATCTCCTGGCCTCTTTTCTCTGGGTTTCCACGATGAAATTATGTGTGAATTTATAATTTTCCCCAAACTCCCACCATGCCCAGTTTTATTCTCCTCCCTTTAATGAGTCTGTTGATTATAAGGGAAAAACGTAATCCGTTAAGAAATTTTAAAGATTTAGCATGCGTTCAATGACCCTACTGAACTTCTGCTTGTTGTTTTGACGACGATGTTTTAAGATGAAACGTTTTCTACCGTTGTTTAGTGCGTGGATGTGAGTAATGAACTGGAAAGAACTTGCGTAGTAACTTCCTGTTTCAGTGCCCTGTCTTGGCGCTTTCTTCGATGCACTGAGGAAAACCACCACACACGTCAGTCAAGAAATTCTTTCTCCCCACCGAGATATGAATTCTACACTCTTCAGGTACACAGTTGTACCCAGTCTACTGTGACGTTTCGTTTCGTGCAAACTCCGCGGAACAGAAGCTGTAAAGTCGTTTGTTGTTTGCTTTCTGCTTTCGTGTCTACTTTCGTCTGTCTTCTTGCTCGTACCTTGTTCATAACACCGTGTATAGGTGCATAAGAAAAATAATAATAAGAAAGAGTTGTTGCGCTCGTAATATCCGGGCTTAAAAGCAAAAGTTGGTATGCTCCTTCATGATAAAATTGAATCATATAACACAGAATAACTTGAGGCTGAGAATGTGTTTCTACCTGGTTGAATACTAAAGAGAAGCACTCAGTAAGAAAACTAAAGCGAAGTTTTCAAGACGCATAGTTCATGATTAAATCTCACATTGTGGTATTAATGTGTCTAAAACAACTTTTAGGTTACGTCATCATCAGATAGTAACGTAGGTCGTTAGCGTCATCCGTGGAAAGTTACTCTTCTCAACATACTAAGCCTCTCAACCACTCCTCGAAGGAAAGTAAGAACCGGTTGCTTCTTCCTGAAACCGGTCCGCCGACGGATCAATGGCTTCTCCACTTCCAATCTTCAGAGCCCTCAAAAATGCCGTTATCTTTCCATTTTCAAGTTGTTTCCCCACATGTGTTAAAAAATGAACTGTGGCCTTGTTAAGGGCCGGTTTTCTGTTCACCGAATAACACCACTTTATTCCTGAAAGCAACATTGTATCCTTGATAAATCTCGTTATTTCACATTGTTCTTCACATCTTGAAAATTAACTTGTGTCCCGCTTAGAAGGACGGCTTTCTTTCCATTGGCTAATACGAGTTCCTTCGCTTTACCCTATATTCTTGGGTCTCATGATCATCCCGCTTCTAACTTCTCTATATCCAAGCCTATGTCTGAACCTATACACTCAGCCGTGAAGATGGAGGTTCTAGTGTGTCCCTCCGAAACGTCGATAAAACAAGACAGCCATGTTAACAATGACCGTCTTGGAAAGCTCGAAGCTTGTACGTAATTTGCCTAATAATATTGTGGCGTGTACAGCCGTTCCTATGCAATGGCCGCGAGATGAATGGATATTCCGTAACCATTTCTGGGAAACGGCTCAATAAACACGTTACCATTGCTAGGTAACAGATTCTTAGTAATGCAGCAGTTTGGCTCTAGTAAAGTAAACGGCGTGTTTCCTCATGGTCCCTGATGAGATGTTATAAGCAATAGACAGAAAGTCAGTCAGTTCCGTACAGGAGTCTGTGAAGAGAGGACTTAAGTGCGTGGAGCTGAAAAATATCCACTTTTAGGAACAGTTTCCAGGAAACGGGTGGTGAAGATACAACAGGCTGGAAAATACTAAGGGCTTGATATTGTGATTTGTGAATTGTGGAGATTAGTGGTGGTAGCGCTGTAATTGCTTCCTTCCGAGTCGTGACTGTAGTCAATAAATGGAATCATCAATCCAATCCCCGTCTTTAAAAAAAAAGTGATAATATTAACTGAATATTTTCAAGTAGTAGTTGCTTTTGCAAAATAAAGTAATACAATAGTTCTTGGGATTTAAAATATTGTTACGTGTAAGGAGACACGTGTGACGAATGTTCTAGATCGAAAGATTGGATTTACTGGCACTTCGGTTACAAGTTTCCTTAATCACACTCAATTATAACGCTATCGCTATTGTACACACTTTCAGTTAATCGTTGCACGCGCACTAAGATTCTCCGTCTTCACTTGTCGTCTCCTGGCAACGTATCTCAACACAGAAAATAGCACTTCAAATTACTATGAAGTCTTCTTGTTATTTCGTCTTCAGTCACACTGTGTTCCTCCGTCCTAAGCTGTACTCAACTCTCCTGGGCTGCCTTCTCGGTTATTCTGGAACCATTTGTAATTAGTTGGAAAGGACGCCACAGAAAACACGTGTCACGTGTGAGGCTGCGAGTTCATTGGTCCGTTACCCACATTGGGCGTGGCGGGGACGACGTAAGACACAGCCTCATCTACTGTTGTATTTTGGGCTCTGTTTACGGAGCCGTTGCCTGGAAACGCGTTAGTCAACTCGTCTGGCCTCACTAGGGATAGAAT